ACGATAAAAACTGCAAGTATCTTTTGCCCTCACACCTTTCATTCGGACCACGCGCGACTGATTAGAAGGAGTCACTAAATTCAGCCCATCATGCAGGGTAGACAGTGCTAACTCTGTCTGCTGATGACAGAGGAGTCCTTGTGCACACATTTGAAACCACTAAAAATCTATTGAGTCTCCTCAACCACTCTGTACCATTCGTTTTCCCTTCCGTAGAGATGGCTGCTATCCTGAAGCTGACATATGTTGTAAAAATCCTCTCCAACATCAAGTTCAATATGTATTACAGATATGCCCTACGTGCAGATACACAAATCTACATGGGTATGGGTATTTTTACAGCCAGAGTTATCAATGCAGGCTGAAAGAAACCTCTTCCAATTGCTTGAGCATGCTTTTTGATTAAGTGTATCATAAAATAGTAAGATTTTTTCAAATGTGCTATGGCATGAGAGCCATTTCCACAGCACTAGACACTTCCCATATGATAATTCCTGCAGCCAGAAACCTTTCTTTAGCCCTTAAAATGGAGGGAAAGGAAAGAGAGGAGGAGGGGCAACGTGAGGACTCCAAAGGGAGGAATAAGGCCAGTAAGTAAGTTATGCCAGTGCATCTTTTCTCACTTCATATCTCCCAGCACTGGTCAAATTTCTTAACATCTATCATCTATCTATCTATCTATCTATCTATCTATCTATCTATCTTGCAAATAACTTTCTTAGAATTTGTTGGTGGTGGTTGCTTCAAACTGGAAATAAATTAATGCAGTTGGGAAGCTCAGGGGAAATTCATGTGGGGGAAAGATCTCTTGTTTTAACTTTCAAACGTCAAATAAAGATAGCTGAAGGAGTCAATTTTCATAACAGTCTCAGTCGTGGGACAGAGCAAGTTCTATGTAGAAGTATATTGCCACAGATATCTGTTTAATACCCAAAAATAAGACTTGAGTTTCCTCTTTCTAGGCAGAGTAAGTATACACAGTTGAGGCTTTCTTGTGCAACGCTCAATGTCGTGTGTCAAGTACTGGTCAATGGTTTGTGGGGATACAGAGGATGCTTTCAGATCAAAACCTTATAAAGTAACACCTCAGATGCTCAAATTCACTTTTATCCTTCAATATTCACATAGGACGTAATACATCTAAAAAATGGTTATCACCTTGTCCCTGAATCACCTCTTGGGAGTGATTAGTTACTTAGGAAAACTCAAAAAACCTATGCTCACATTTGGGGCTTGACATGAACAAAAAAATAATTGTGTTAAGTCAATGAGATGTTGAAGCATGTTCGTTGTTGCAATAGTTTATTACATCCTGTTAACACAGAATATGTGGGAAAAAACCCCACTAAATATGGAACAAAAGACAAAGAGAGTATGGCAGACTATGAAGGCTCAGATATTAGAGATTAGAAAGATGTTAATCAGTATTGTATGGCAAGAAGACAGTAACACAGTATTAGTATTTGTAGTAACCTGAGAGGAAGTCTGTGTCAGTAGTGAATTGAATGGCAAAATAAAAGTCTAAATACGTGGGCATCAATATTAACTACCCTGGGCAAATTATTATATGAAAAAGCAAGTTCATAAGTTATATGGCTAATTTATGAACACAAAGAAAAGAAACTTTATCCTTTCTGGTGTCAGATTTCAAACAGGATAGATAAGATTACAAAAAGTTTGAACAGCAACATAATGTAAAGCTTATGAGTTAGATGAACTAGTGGGGAAAAGAATAAACTGAAACTGTATCCACTATGACTTCCAGCTCCAAAAACGATCTTGGCAAAAGCAAATTTAAGAGTGCTATCTTTCCACATACTCTACCAGAAAGTCCTAATTCATTTAAGTCGTAGCATCAAGATAGGAGCAAGGAACTTAACTTTGTTATATAAATCTAGGAAAGAATGGTGGGGATGATTTCTGGCATAAGGAAGTGATTGGATGTGCACACACACACACACACAAAGTCCACTAATGTGTTGGTAGAAATAATCTGCCAAAGAAGTCTGACAGTTTAACCTTAAAATAAGATTTAGGTTAACATTAGCGGGAGACAGAGAGGAGGAGGAATTCTGTTCTCCAAGTGGAAAATTTATAGACAGGAAGTTCTATGGATGTGGCAGAGGCACGGGAGACAGAGAGGAGGAGGAATTCTGTTCTCCAAGTGGAAAATTTATAGACAGGAAGTTCTATGGATGTGGCAGAGGCACGGACCAGTTGTACCCTCTCAGAAGCTGGGGCCTACAAGAACATGCACAATACCCTCTGTCTCCTTATAGGAAGGGGAAGACCTGATCGAGAATCTCTCATTACTCAAAGTACTATCAAAACTGTGCCTAAGGAGAATTCTGAATTTCTACTTAGGAGTGATTGCTGTATGATTTCCAGCTTTCTCCTTTCATTTGAGCATGTTCATTGCATATATCTCTACCTTTCATGGTGGATATGCACTGGGAACTTGCCATTTTAGTGGTTTGGTCACTGAAGTACCAAGGGAAATACCCATAATATGCATTCTTAGTCATCCTGCTCTTCAGCTATGTACAAATGAGAGAAGATTAGATAGAAATGACTCCTTTGGGGATATGTCAAATGCATCCAACACATAGAGGGAAAAAAGGAACGCTTTGGTGACCAGAATAGTGGACTATGGCAGAGAAAAAGCTTTCTTTTCTGCACATCATAGATCTAAATTTCTCAAAAGAAAGTGCTTTTTATTTCAGCACATCATGCACCTAAATTTGGTCAATAAGTTGTGAATAGAGGATGTGTAGTAAAAATCTAGTGCCTAGACTTTAAATACACCCCACATGGCCTTATAGTTCTACAGTGGACGTGGAAGCCCTGAGTTCCAGGCCATAGAGCTATAGGATAACTAGAACTTTGGTAGCTGCTACATGTTTTTAGGCTTACACATAAATGCATAGAGAAACACTCACATAGAGGTTTATGTTACTGTTACATATCTAAATGTTTCCAGAAGGCCTCATGGGCTCATAGGCACCGATTTTGGAAGGCAATTAGATCATTGGATCACATGGCTGACTTGCTGTGAGAAGGTGGAGGAGTCTGTTTAGAAAGGCTGGTCCCTGGGAGAATGGCATAGAGCGTTCCTCTCCTTCCCAGATTCCTCTCTTTGCAATCTCTGCTTCTTTGCATTTATTTTAGTTTTCTTCTGCCATGCCATGCTGCCCTGCCTTGAAGCCAGATGACTATGGACTAAAAACTCCACTGCAAACTGAGAGCCAAGATATACCTATTCTCCTTTAAATTACAGATGATTAGCATTATGTTCCAGTGATGAGGAAAGTGATTAAGGCACTTATGTCTTTGTCATGTAAATGTTTTTCTACTAATTCTTCATTAAGAAATGCTGTATTAGGAAATTATAGTGAACAGCTCAGGAATGTCAGGAGATTGAAATATTCCTAAAGACCAAGAAACCATGAAAATTTTTTGAGAAGAATGAGTCTAGTTTTTTTCTAAGTGAAAGATGGATAAAAAGATATACTTCCACTTTTATTTCGTGAGTCAACAATGTTGTGTTCAAAATATCAAGCAGAATGTGACACCCAAGTTGTTGATAACTAAATATTAAGGGTAACATCATTTTATTTTCAGACAGAATAAAGAAAATCACAAAGAATGTATTATTTTTAAGTGGTGCAATCGCTTTCTCATGAAACTAAGTTCAGATACTGCTTGGTCTCTTATAGAGTGTGCCATTTGACAAATGTATTTTTTGAATTTTCATATCTGAATGGTGCAGAGTTGACTGGTTGTACGTTCACAGCCTTGAACATCCTGAAATTTCATCTTTCACTGTAGTGTCTGGGCCTGTGCCTCAGATCCAGCTGTGGGGCCCAGAGCTGCTCAGAAATGGGATAGAAGGACAGAAACTTCTTCACTTATTAAAGGCTCATTGTAGGCTGGCTTGGTGCCAGCTAGAATTTTAGTCTTTTATCTGTGGAATTAGTAGGGATGCTTCCTGTCTCAATGTATTAGCCAACTCCTCTGGGACACAATATCCAATATCCACAATTTAGACGAAGAGAGGTTTATTAGGTTCACAGTTTCAGGGGATTCAGTCCACCATCAGCTAGTTCCAAGGCAGAAGGGCATGGCGGGCAGCTTAAAAGCAGAGTAGAGAACTGCTTCAGGGAGGAAGAGGTCATGGACCAGATGCAGGATGCAAGGTGACACTTCCATGATAGACTCAGACATACTTGGAAGTGAGCTTAGGCAGCCTCTAAGCCAATTAAGTTGACACAATTAAATTTAATCACATCTCATCTATATCTTAAATATGAAATTGATCCAAAGTTTTATATTAGATTGGAAAATTTGGATTCCAGTTACTTGACTGTTACCCTCAATAACAAGTGCTATTCATTTCTCCAGCATTTTCCCTCTCTTTTACCCTTTCTTACTATAATTCCCATCTTTTAACAGCTTTCCAGTTAAATTTTTTCACTGACTTGCCACTTGAATCTAATAACAGAAGACTAAAATAAAAATGTCAAATCATTGAGATAGGATTTCTGACAACTTTCTGTCAGTTTCTATATACAAAAGGAGACTATTAAATACGTTTTAAAAAATGGGCATAAAACAACATTTTGTCAGCTAACTGTAAATGAAAGAGAAGCTTTCAGATGAAGTCTCCATCAAAACATGCACATTTAAAAATTCAAGGAAAATTTCTTTGGCAGAAGATTTTTGTATTTTCCACTCTTAAAATACATAATTTGAGTGATTTTTAACCTAAAAAGTCATGATATCCATTTTTTTTTACAAATTAAAAGAAAAAGGTACAAAAATCATGAAGTGATTTCTACAGAAAAAATTATCAAGCTAAGAAATCTTCCATCTTGACAGCCTCATAGGTTCTTTCCAATATGATTACCTGGAGGAAAGAAGGGCTTGTTCTGAAAACCAACAGCATATTAGAAAACTTTGTAAAATATTGTGAACGAAAGATATGAAACTATGCCGCTTACCATCAAATATAAAAGAAGGCAAGATCTTCCAACTTGCTTAAACTTCCTTTTGTAAGATTACCAGTGTGAAGAAGACCCCAAGGAACCAGCTCTCATGAAAAATCAAGGGGTTTTATTATCCGCGCATGCATGGGACTCTCCGACCACATTCCAGTGGGGAGAGTGCCTGGGTAGGGGAGTGCAGAGTATATAAAGCCAAAAACCACAAAGCAAGCGTCGGTTACAGAAGCAGATGGCATTGGTTAATAGGGGTCGTGTCTTTTGCTTATTGGTGGGTGAGCTATCCGCTGCAGGTGGCTTGATGTTTTTTGAAAACTCATATCCTGTCTGGCAGGGTCGATAGTTCATGGTGCTCTTATTTTTGGGGACGTTGGACCACAAGTTCCCTATCAGGCCAGAACATCTGGTTGTTCTGACTGTGTGACAAGGCAAGAGGGGGTTTCCTAAATGTTTTAACTCTTCACTTTCAAGCTGCTAATAGCATTTTAAGCTTAACGTAGAGAATGCAATGTATATCACTGGTTTCGAATAGTAACTGACCACCTTTACTTTAGCTCAGGTTAAACTAAATGACATTCTTTTTAGTTATTAATTTAGATAATTGATTGACATCAATCAGGGCAATTTAAGAGACTGATAGAAACTCTGCTTCACCAGTCTTAGACAAAAACATGAAATACATTTTAAAAACAGAGAAGAAATAATTGGATCACATAGTTGGGAAATCCAGGTCTTAGCCTGATTTTTGTTCACAGCGTGGTCCAGGGTCTCACTTCCTGTTATTGTCTCCCTATATTTTGATATGTTTTCAGTAGTATTGCAAAGATGGTCATGAAAACTTAAGACCTTGCATTCTAACATCTCATGAAGGGAAGGCTACCACCTCCTTTTTGTGCTTTTCTAGGAAAGAACCTACATAGACTCTGCCGGGACCTGTGATACATTCATCTGTTATGGGGCCTCTGTCATGTGGGCACAAGAACCAGGAATTAAGCTGTGGAGTGCAGAGGGTCCAGGGATAAAGGTCATTAGTAGTTCACAAAATAGGATAATATTTCTGGAGAAGTGAAAAGGACTACTGGAGAGACAGGAACCTCCGAGATCCATAGGGATGAGTATTTAATGTTCCTTTACTTTTATCTGCCTGCCACTGCACCCCTGCCCCATCACCTTGAGGGTAGCTGGGGAGATTTCCATTAGTGATTTTTGGGAACGCAAACATGCAGACTACAGCACCTAGTTAGTAGACAATTTGTACTGTTGGTTTTCTGTCACCAATTTGCTAATCAGAGCGAGGCTTGCTGAGGATTCAGAGGTCATATTTGTTGCTTTATATTCTCTTTGATGATGGAAAAAAGAGTTATGATAACCATCTTCTCTGGGGTATTATGATAGATGAACTTTGTGGGGAGGATTAAAATGTATGCAAAGGTATACTAGATTTCTGTGTCACTCTGTTCTATGAAGGATGTTAATTAAAACAAGTATTCCCAAGTTCTTTCTTCATTTGGAGCAGAGAGACACATACATTTAAAACATGAGTGCTTTATAGGTCTGAAGTATTTACACACATTTAAAAAACTAGGTCATAAGGAAAAAACAGAATACTAATTCAAATATCTGACAACAAAATCATATTAACAAAACTATTGTTATTATAGCCAGATTAAAAATTGTATTTAAAAAGATTGTTATTTGTCAACAAATAATCAAAATCATGTATTTAAAAAAAAGAAACCAAAATGTGTATTTAAAGTTAAAATGGAGAATGTCTTAAACTCTTCTAGTGTTAAAAAATCAGGATGTGTGTTAACCTTCAAAATTTTTGTGGCATTGTGAATACTTTTAAAAGGAGTATTTTTGATCAAGAGAATGATTTGGAGTGATTATTAAAATTAATATTTAAAATAGATTTTCAGATATTTATTTCTCATTTAAAAAATTCTATTTGGATAATCTTTTCTAACAATCTGCTTACATTGCAGGCCTTAACAAGCTGAGCAAACAATGTCTTTATTAGTGCTATTTAAACTATTTGTCCTATTTCATTTTAACTGCTGTCATAGAAATAAGCAGCATTTCTTATAAGTGGTTCAAGATATGTTTACTACATTTAAGTAAGTATATAGTAACAATTTCAGTATTTGAATCATTATCTTGAGCTATTTCTGAAAGTTTCACAGAAATGTAATAACATAAGCACAGTTTACTATTATAACTTTTCCTTTTAACATACAAATACATAGAAAGCCATTTGTTGATAAGACTAGCAGACATTTCTCCAGCACTGTTGTTTGTGTAATACTCATTATGCCAAATGTTGAACAGCTAATCTTCAAGGTGATTTAATAAAGTAATTATTGTTATCAACTCTATTTTGTGAACAGAGTACAAAATGTTTAAAAAACGACCAAAAATCACACAAATGCTGCAAGTTCCACCATTTTCTTTATTACACTTTATTTTCTAAAATTTCTGAATATGCATTAAAAGATAATTTGAATCTGTAAAACTGAATTTATTTTTGTACAGAATCATTGTAACTAATATCTAAGTAATTAGGTGACATAATATATAATTTTGCTTTGTAAAAATTCATACATCTTAAAATTGAGAAAAATGAGAATAATAAATATTGACTCTTCCCTGGGGTATTACGAGAGATGAACTTCATGGGGAAGATTAGAATGTATGCAAAGATAATAATACTAGATTTCTGTGTCAGAAATCTTCCCAGAAATATAAATATATATATGAAGTATATACAAAAATATGAAATATATTAATATTATATAATTAATATATATTACTATATATATATATATATATATATATATATATATAGAGAGAGAGAGAGAGAGAGAGAGAGAGAGAGTAATCAGATATGGTACACCAGGTCATTATATATATATATATATATATGCTATTATTTAAAACTTATGTCAGCAAAACATCTATTCATGGATTAAGAATCCATAATCTTTCCAGAGCCATTTTTTAGACACTTCTTTTTGTGGCAGTTAAGTTTCATTGTGTCAACTTGATTGCTATGGCAGCACCCTAGGGAACTGGTAAAGCACTTCTGAGTATGTCTGGGTGGCTCATGGAGGTCTGACCTGGGGGCCATATCTAGTTTCTGGAACAAAACATTGTCTCTGGCACCAGTCTCTGGACTGTTTCCTGGCCTCTGTGAATTAAGCATCTTTGCTTTGTCATGGAGCCAGCCTATCCCTTGAAACAATGAGACAAGTTGAACCCTTCGTTTTTACAGTTGCAAGTGCTGTGATGGAAAGCTGAGTGATACACTCTTCTTGCTAATATTTGGATAAAGCCCATGTGTAAAGCTGCAATATACTATAAACAATTGAGGCACTTTCCCCTCTGCAGATACACAAACATGTCTAGTTTCACATTGTCCCATTGCTCTCCTATCTTTAAGTAGTTTTGTCTGATAGTAAATATTTTTTCTGACATGAATACTTTTATAAGATAAAACTTTCTCATTAAAATTCCCAGTTCCTGTGGTTGTTAAAGAAGTATAAAATTAATTTGTGTGTACTGTGTTTGTTTAGAACCTCTGATAAGAGCCAAGCAGGAGTCATGTTTAGGGGTTTGCTGGTCTCTCTCTTGCTTTACTTTGCAATTCTGCCTGTCTTCCCCATTCTTGGTCACAAAACTCGACATGCTTGAACTTAGAGAATACTAATATTTATAGTATTTTGGGTCCTAAGAACACTTGCAAGATGACTTCTCTTGTCCTATGAACACTTTATTTTCTTCCATTACTGGTCTTTGAAAGAAACTGCTCCCTTTTCTGGTTCAATCCATGAATATCTGAGAGTGCTTATGATTTTTTTTAAATTCAAATGTCTTTGCCCTTTCTGAAGATAGTTTATGTACATGAACACACACACACACACACACACACACACACACACACACACGCATACACACATGCATACACACACACATTCAATCATAGCATCTGTAAACTAGGGTTACAGAATTTCCTTGGTCACCAGCTTTTCTTTGTTTCTCCATAACAGCTGTCCTGCTTGTCTCTTGTGTTCCAGAATTTTTAGGCAGAGCCTGAAACCCACTGACCTTGTCTACCAATTATAAGAAAAACACTCTAGCTCCCTGTGCCACCTTTTCAATAGACTTGATCTAAGGAGAGAGTGAGCTTATTTCTCACTCTCACTGTTTCTTTCCCTAAAGAGGTCATATTTACAAGTATATAATTTGAGATTCTGTATTTTTGAGGCAGAAAAATTCCACCCTAGCCTGTCCTCCTGAAGTGAGCAGAACACTTTGAAGGAAACTACTCTCAAGAAAAGTTCTCTGATAACTTGTAATCTAGTTTAATTTTATACATTTTATATAGAGTCTAGGGAGTTTGCTACTTCTTGATACCTCAGCAAGGTATTTCCACTTCATACCATATACAGACTGTCATGGTTTATGTCAGTGGCCCCCAAGCCTCATGAATTATGGACTTGACCAAATCTAGCATTTGTGATTGGTTCATTGTCTGGCACTCAGATTGACGGTGTGAGTGCTACACCTGCCTAAATGTAGAGCCAGCATATGATGTAGTGGCGGGAAGGTGTCTCTCTCTCTCTCTCTCTCTCTCTCTCTCTCTCTGTCTCGATGGTTCATGTTTGCTATTTGCAGTGGCCATGAATGGCTGCCCTGCCATGCCACACTGCCAGCTGAGCCAGCTGAGTATGGACTGAAACCTCCAAGAACTGTAAGAAATAAATCTTTCCTTCCTTCATTTTGGATTTGGGTATTTTGTCCCAGCAAGAATAAGGTAACTATGACACAGACCATTTTGGTGGTCAACTCCCTGAAATTTTGGTATGGTAAGGGTTTGGCTGAATCTTCACAGAACACAGTGGTCACAGAGAATGGTCAGCAGCCCTTCCCTTCCTCGATGACCCCCGTAGTAACTCCATTCCTTCACTGGTCTCAGATCACTCCCACTCAGAGCACAGAACTTGCTCCGCTTCCCTTATCTGACATGACAGTGAAGCACATACACATCATCAATCTGTATTTCACTGAGCAGTACAGACTTTTTGTGTCAATCAAGCAAAATTCACTCTTCCTAAAATATCGTTGCTGGTGTGCACGGGTATA